ACATGCTTTCATCAAGGATGAGGTATCTAAACTCCTTAAAATAGGGTCCATCCGGGAGGTAAAATACCCGATCTGGTTAGCAAATGTTGTAGTGTAGTCCCCAAAAATTAGAATAAATTAAGAATGTATGTAGATTATAAAGATTTGAATAAAGCGTGTCCTAAGGACTATTTCCCTTTTACTAACATCGATCACATGATCGATGCTACGACCGGCCACAAGATCCTCAATTTTCTCGACGTATATTCCGGGTACAATCAAATTCAGATGGACTCGGGTGATCAAGAAAAAACTTCCTTCATCACCAAGTACAGCACCTACTGTTATAACGTGATGCTGTTCAGACTAAAATACGCTGGCGCCACTTACCAAGGCCTAGTAAATCGAATGTTCGAAGAACAAATAGGAAAATCAATGGAGGTTTATATTGACGATATGTTGGTTAAGTCCCTGCGAGCAGAGGACCATTTGAAACATTTGCAGGAAACCTTCAATATATTGAAAAAATACAATATGAAGCTGAACCCGGAGAAATGTGCATTTGGAGTCTGGTCCGGTAAATTCCTCGGATTCATGGTATCTAATCGGGGGATCGAGATCAACCCCGATAAGATCAAGGCCATCGAATATATCACTGTTATGGACAACGTGAAGGCCGTACAAAGGTTAACCGGACGTATATCCGCCTTGGGACGATTTATTTCGAGGTCATCCGACAAGAGCCACCGTTTCTTCTCACTGTTGAAGAAAAAGAATAACTTCTCATAGACCCCGGAGTACCAACGGGCCTTAGAGGAGCTCAAGCGATATCTATCGATCCCACCGCTGCTTCACACACCGAAGACAAATGAACAGCTATACCTGTACTTGGCAGTATCGGAGATAGCGGTAAGTGGAGTCCTGGTCCGCGAAGAGAAAGGTATGTAATTTCCAGTTTACTATGTTAGCAGGATTCTTTGCGAGGCCAAAACTAGGTACCCTCACCTAAAAAAGCTGGCGCTCGCTTTGCTATGTGTCTCTAGAAAGCTAAAACCGTACTTTCAATGTCACCCCATATGTGTCGTAACCACTTACCCATTAAGGAATGTAATGCATAAACCTAAGCTCTTGGGACGGTTGGCCAAATAGACCGTAGAAATCAATGGGTACGACATCGAATATCGGCCTGGGACCGCCATTAAGTCTCAAATTTTAGCAGACTTTGTGGCCGACTTTACACCGGCCCTAATACCCGTGGTCAAAAGAGAGTTGTTGTTGAACTCAGGGACTTCTTCCGAAATCTGGACCCTCTTTACGGACGGCGCCTCGAATGCGAAGGGGTCCGAACTTGGAATTGTCTTGAAACCGGCCACAGATAATATAGTTAGACAATCTATTAGGACTTTAAAATTAACTAACAATGAGGCCGAGTATGAGGCCATGATTGCATGTCTCGAACTTGCCAAAAGCTTGGGGCAGAGGTGATCGAAGCTAAGTGTGACTCTCTCCTTGTGGTGAACGAAGTTAATGGGATGTTCGAAGTTAGAGAGGAAAGAATGCAAAGATACCTGGATAAACTGCAGGTAACGTTACATCGGTTCAAAGAGTGGAATCTACAACATGTGCCTCGGGATCAAAACAGCGAGGCCGATGCCTTCGCTAACTTGGGATTGTCGGTCGATGACGATGAGTTCAACTCGGGGGCAGTTGTACAACTCATGAGATTAGTAGTGGAAGAAGGTCACGCCGAGATAAACTCAACAAGCCTGACTTGGGACTTGAGAAACAAATATATAGAATATCTGAAGACCGGAAAACTGCCTTCGGACCCTAAAGAATCAAGGACTCTACGTATGAAGTCGTCCGGTTCAGCCTGTCCGAAGATGATACACTATTTCGGAGAACGTTTGATGGCCCACTCGCAATATGTCAAGGACCCGGAGACACCGAGAATGTTTTAAGGGAAATCCATAAAGGCACCTGCGAAAATCATTCGGGCAACGAATCATTAGTTCAAAAAATAATCAGAGTCGACAACTATTGGATCGACATGTAAAAGGACGCGAAGGAGTTCATACTAAAATGCGACGGATGTCAAAGGCATGCTCCGATGATTCATCGGCATGGGGAGTTGTTATATTCAGTCCTATCGACCTGGTCATTCATGAAATGGGGGATGGACATCATCGCCCCCATTCCATGGGCACCCGGTAAGGCTCAATTTATATTGTTTATGACTGACTATTTTTCTAAATGGGTGGAAGCCCAGGCGTTTGAGAAATTCAGGGAGAAGGAAGTCATTGATTTCATCCGAAACCACATAATATGTCGGTTTGGAATGTCGGCCAAGATCGTGTATGCAATGGGAAGCAGTTCATCGGCAACAAAGTAAGACAGGCTCGAGATATGGCAATAAGGGACCGAAATCGAGCCAAAGTCCCACCGGGCTAGAACCCGGGGGCATGACGTCCGCCTTCGAGAATATCGAGACCATGATCCCAGAATTAGTCCTAGCCTCAAACGACTTTGAAGAACTTTGTCAGACAATCCAGCATATCTAACAGAAGGCCGGAATATCCGTGACCGGCCGAATGTTACGGTGGAAATCTCGGCACGTATCGATAAGGAACCAGCAATCAGTGAATCAGAAGATTTTTTTACCTTTTATAGAGTTGTACCTAAAATACCCTATTATATAAAGGGGGTCTAATAATTCATTTGACATATTGTAACACGCACTCAAAAGCAATACATTATTATTTTCTCTGTCTTTAAGCTCTTGTTCTTTTTTTATCGACACAGGTCATGGTGAGCCCGACTCGAGAGCGATTATTCCATCAAAGATGAAACTATCCAACTAGTGTGGTTTGAATTTATTTTATCTTTATTTATTCAATAGCAACTTAATTTATCGCTTTGTATCAAGTTAATCCACGTATCCTTAAAATCACTTACAAATTTAATTGTTATTCGATTTTGAGGGTAAACAAACAATTAAGATTATAACAAAAGGTTCATCACGTGGGGACAAAGGCGGATGAAGTATAAATTTCTTCTTGAAAATCTATTGAAATTTTAACAAAATATTAAAGTTGAAAGTGATAATAACATGCATAAAAATGGTCATGAGTGTCGATCGAGCGGTTGAGAGAAAGAGGAAAAAATTGGGAAAACTATATTATATATCCCAAAAATAATAACAGGCAAATATATATATTTGTATATTAGTATATAATAATATAGCTGTATATGATTCTGACGATGGCTCATTTTCTCTCGGTGCACTTTAACTAACATGCGTTGGCCATGGGGAAAATGGTGCATGTTCCATATCAGAAGGCTCTAATGGCGAAGGAAACAACGGTTAAGTACAATCAACATCGAGGACAACAAGCTCACATCAGTCAATTGACAGAAGCCCTAGGTGAACAAGAAAACAATGAACAGTAATTCCGGCTGGAGAATCAGAGAAGGCAGGCAAATTAAAATCAATTCATCAATGGAATAAGATAGTACAGTCAGTAAATATGCAGCAAAGTCCTTCGAGTAGAGGGAATAAGTCCTGGCATATTCAGGTAGAGAAGGAACTCGAGCAACGAACGGAGCAGAGTTCGATTTGGGAGAATTTTAACTTATTAAAACTATCAAATGCTGGCTTCAAACTTGAGTATGTAGCTCCTAAAGTGCATGGTTAGTCACCAATTATAGACATCGAATTAGAAGATATTGCATCTGAGATGAAATATTGGAAGAATGTCATGGTATGCTATGTTTTGGGAGCTCATCCCCCATTTCCTGTACTAGTAAGGTTTGATACAAAATTGGGGAAAAATAAAGCAATTCAGGGAAAAATATATCACTTTGACAATAAACCATTCATTGTCAAAGCTTGGTGCCCGAACATGGAGTTTGCGAGAGAAAAATTATACACTGTGCCGATTTGGATAGAGTTGTCTGGATTAGACTTCAAGTATTGGAGTCCAAAAGGCCTGAGCAAGATAGGTAGTCTAATTGGAAAGCCATTGATGGTAGAACAAAATACAAAGAAGGAGATATGGCTCAATTTTGCTTGGCTACTGGTAGAGGTAGAAATGGATACAGAATTACCAGACAATATTCTATTTAGAAATGAGGAAGGTTCAGTGGTAGACCAAAATGTGATCTATGACTGGAAGCCAACATTATGAAAATTCTACAAGAAGTATGGACATTCAGAATCAAAATACAGGAAGAAGAAGGGTCCAAAAACTGATATGCAAGAAGAAAAGATAGCACAAGAAGGAAAGTTGATTGATAAACCAAACTCTGAAGATCCAAAGGAGAATCAACAGATTTAACAAAGTGGTGTAAGGCAAAAGGAACTTCCTATGAAAGAGAAAATATAAGAACAACCAAACTCTGGATGGATAACACCATCAAGATGACATGCAGGAAGGATTCAGAACAAGCAGATACAACAGGTGACAAGTAGCAATACCTTTCAGGTTCTCCACAGGACCAAACTTGATTGTAGTGTTTCAGCTAATGAAGGAGATAATGTGGGAGGCCAATCCATTCCTTATTCAGGGAATGGTTAATATTCTTTGATGGAATGTTGGGGGGCTAAATGCCCCTAATAAGCAAAGTGAGGTCAAATTCTTTTGTAATGCTGACAAAGTTAATCTAGTAGGATTATTGGAGACAAAAGTAAAAAGTAACAAGTTTGAGAAAATAGCTAATAGTATGTTCAGTAGATGAAATAACATAAATAACTTGGGAGATCATTACAATGGAAGATCTGGATAAGTTGGAGGCCAGACTACTATAATATTTAACCTATGATGAGTACAACTCAAGTAATTACCTGTGAGGTAACATACATTCCTATCCAATTGAGGTTTATGTTATTAGTAGTGTATGCACATAACACTAGAGAAGAGAGGAAGGAGTTATGGGAGGCACTAGTGCAATAAAGTTCAGCATGTCAGCAACCTAGGTTAATCTTAGGTGATTTCAACTATGTATTGAATATTGAAGATAAAATGGGGGAATCTAGTAACTTGGGCAGAAGTTGTAGACTTTCAGAAATGGGTACATGTCTGATTGAGCTCCCTCAACAAGGCCAAAAGTACATTTGGAATTATAGAAGTGGTGATCATAGAATATTCTCCAAAATAGACTGGATGTTTATTAATGAAGTTTGGCTAAATACTATGCATGCATGTGGGACAGCTTTCCTACCTGAAGGCACCAGTGATCATTGCCCAGCTAAGGAGATGCTAAAAAAGATAAACTTTAGAAGGATGTGAGTTTTCTATTATAGAAATGTTTGGTCACAATGCCCCTTATTTCTTGCAAGGGTCAGGGATCTATGGGATGCACAAATTGATGGCTGCAGAATGTATCAAGTAGTACAGAAATTAAAACAGTTAAAAAGGAAGTTGAAAGAGTTAAATAAGCAACAGTTCTGTAACATCGTCAAGGAAGCAGATGATGATAAAGTATTACTGAAACAAGCTCATGCATTATTATAACTTGACCCTTTAAATGTACAACTTCAGGAGGATGAGAAGACTAAATTCCAAAAATTCAAGAAATCTTCTTTATTAACAGAGATGTTCTTGCAACAAAAGATTAAAACTACTTGGATAAGGCTTGGAGAAGATAACACTAAGTATTTTTTCTCAGTTATAAAACATAGGAAGTTGCAACAGGCAATCACTCAGATGAAGGACCAGCATGGGAACTGGCAGACTGACCAAGAAGCTATTGCTAATATCTTTGTGGAGCACTATACTGACCTACTAGGAAGGAAACAGTCTGATAGATTAAAAACTTTCAAAGGCATTCTCAATAATGGGCCAACCTTATCAGTAAAACAACAAGTTATCTAATAAAGTATTACTCTGAAATGGAAGTGAAGCAAGCTATGTTTAAAATGTATAGCAATAAGAGCCCAGGGCCAGATGGCTACATAAGTGGATTTTTTAAACCAACATGGGACATTGTAGGGGTGGACTTTATAGAGGCAGTATTGACATTCCTCAAGGAGGCTGTTGAGGCAAATTAACACTACTAATATTGCATTGATTCCAAAGGTAAAAGTTTCTAAAAGTTCTAGCCAGTATAAACCCATTGCATATTGCAATGTCTTGTACAAATGCATTTCCAAGTTACTGTGTAGTAGGCTAAAGGTTGCTGTCAATGCCATTGTGGCAGAGAATCAATCAGCATTTGTGCAAGGGAGATCAATGGTACACAATGTACTTATATGTCATGATTTGTTGAGGCACTACAATAGACAGGGTTCATCTAAATGCTTGATGAAAATTGACTTAAGGAAAGCATACAATATGGTCAGTTGGAAGTTTGTAGAAGAATCACTCAAAGGGTATGGGTTTCCTGCCAAGTTCATAAGTCTGATCATGATTTGTATTACATTCCCTAAGTATACAATAAGGGTTAATGATGAAGGTTATGGGTTCTTTGGAGGGCAGAGAGGATTGAGACAGGGGGATCCAATGTCCCCCTTGCTATTTGTCCTAGTCATGGAGTGCCTATCTAGAACTTTGAAATACATGAGTGTATTGCCAGACTTCAAATTCCATCCCATGTGTAATCAACTACAACTGACACACTTGATATTTGCAGACGACCTGATAATTTTTTGTAAAGGAGCTCCTGCACCAATATCAAGAGTTATGGAAGCCTTATCTCAGTTTAGTAAGGTTACAGGGCTGGTGGCAAATATGGATAAGTCCAATATCTTTCTAGTTGGAGTGGATGATCAAATGAAGGAAGCTTTAGTGCAACAAACTGACTTCATGTTAGGTGCATTTCATATAAGATATTTGTGCTAACCTTTATCATCAAAGAAATGGAACAAGATGGAATGCCACCATCTTATTGAGAAGATAACTACCAGAATCAGTATAATCTATTCCAAGCAACTGTCTTATGCTAGGAGGTTACAGGTAGCAACAACAGTCTTATTTTCATTGCACAGCTTTTGGGGAGCATCCTTCATACTTCCACAAAGTGTGCTAAAGGAGGTAGACAAGAAATGTAGGGAGTACTTGTGGGGCAACACTGAAGGCAAGAAAAAAATATCACATATATAGCTTGGGATAAAATATGTTGTCCAAACAAATTTGGTGGATTGAATATCAGAGGGAGTAGGTTGCGGAATATTGCTTCTATTTGAAAGTTATTCTGGCAACTAGCAAATAAGAAAGACTCACTGTGGGTGAAATGAGTGCATGTGATCTATATGAAAAATAATACTAATATTTGGAGTCACCAACCTCCAAATAATTGTAGTTGGTATTGGAAGAAGATTATCTTATTAAAAGTGGTGATGCAAGACTCATACCAGCAAGGGAACTACATCCAAGGGCCCCAGGGGACATACTCTATCTCTAGCAGTTAAACAAACTGTTAGGGCTACTAAGAAGAATGAGAAATGCTGGACTAATTTGGAGTTCCATTCCACAACTAAAACACAGGTTTATAACCCGGTTGGCTGTACAGGACAAATTACTAACAAAAGAAAGGGTGAAGAGATTACATATTCATGTCAAACATGACCAATATTGTCTGTGTGACCAAATGACTGAGGAATCATCTCGACATCTCTTTGCAGAATGCTGCTGGACAAGGAAACTTAGAGAAAAATTAGCACGCTGGGTAGGAATTCAAATCCCTGAAAGTGATGTGAAGCAGACATTTAACAGAATCAAGAATCGACGCTGGCAGCAATTTAAAAAAGAGATTGTAGCAGCTATATGGAGTGCAGGAATATACCATACTTGGAAAGCTAGAAACTAGAAATTGTTTAGGGGATACACTGTAAATATAGACATAGTAGTAGTACATATCAAGAAGGAGTTTTTAGATAGAATAGAACAAGTTAGGATGTCTAAGAGAGCACAATGCTGTAGGGGATTACTTCAGAAACTTCTTGTATAATTAGCTTTGTTAGAGGCCTACATTACATAGTACCCTCCAAGGAATATGGCTATGGGAATTAGGTGCTCTATAGGTGTATTGGAGTTTGTTGTTAATGGTAATATTTACATTGTTACAAAAAAAAAATATGTTGTATATAATCATTGTATATTTTTTTTATATTTAACTAATAAATATAATTATATTTGATGACGGGCCAAAGGTGTAACTTGGCCGAAAAATTTGAGAATGGCTACGAAATCTAGACAAGAAAATTCTCAAGGATTTTGTCGAAGAGCTTGGATTTTTTTCATAAAAATATTGTTTGACTTAGTTTTAAGATGTTTTTGTAAGTGAATAGGCAAGGTAAGTGAAAGAGAAGAGTTAAATTTGTGTATATTTAAGATGAAGTTGAACATAGATGAAAATTTAGGAATACATCAACGTCCACTGTTGAACTAAAATTCTAAAGTCGCAACCAAATTGGTTCTTGTAATAATTTATAAATCAACATCTAGCTAGTTGTTAGGGCCTGATTTTTTGACAATCGGACGTGGCGCGACTGTGGCAAGGATTGGGACGTGATGGCCTTTCCGTTGGCCTATGCGGGAGCAAAACGATCATGCGGGACAATGGACGAGAAACATTATCATGTGAACAAGTATTGGCCAAGGTCTTAGGACAGGTAAGATGGGCTTGGAAAAGTCTTGAAAGGCAGTGCGGGTAAATTTGGGCCACATGAAGCGGCATGCGCGCCAAAGACAAAGGTACGGAAAATTCAAGTTGTGGAAGCGCCAAGTACAAGATAAGCTAAATTATGGGAGCACGGAATGATGGAAAAGGGTTTCAATATCTAAGGAAAAGCTATGTGAGAGAAAAGACAAGCAATGGCACGGATGAAACAAGTGTTGACAAAGACAAGGTAGAAATGCGGCTAAGGCAATGTGCGGCCGACAGGCATCGGGCGTGTGCGGTAAAATCATGGACAGTAGGTTGCGGACAAGACATTGGTGCGGAGCAATGTCAGAATCAGCCAAGGCTGGGCACAATGCCAGCCTTGGGGCGTGCAATAGCAAACCAAGAAAAAGGGCACATGAAGAGCACATGCCAAAGCAGTGGGCCATTTTATTTTTGTAATGACTTATATCCATGTCTGTTTAGTGCTTGTAGCTAATATCATTTCGAGTAAGATAATGGCCTATGTAGTTTGGGTATGTCAATTACAAGATAAGATCAGATTTATCAATGCTATGTATAAGGTTTGGTTCAGTGGGAAGTGGGACCAGTGCTCCACCAAAGGGCTAAGTGCTCCACCAGAGAGCTAAGTGCTCCATCCAAATGTCTGAGGGCTCCACAAAATAGAGTAAGTGCTAGAGAGGACCATTTCGTGGGTAAGTGCCCCATTACATGGTTAAATGCTTATTAGTGCTTTGACTAAGTAAAGCACAATGACGGAATTGCCCCTTTATAAATTGTCCCTTCAAATCTGCCAGGGACATCCCCTATATCTATATATATATATTTAGAGGCATTTCGTCAAGAAAGGCATCAAGACTAAGATAGTATTAGATCAAGGCTGAGAGTGGTCTTGAAAGAGAGAATCAAGGCTAAGTCTTGAGCAGAAGGATAGGGTCTTCAAATGAAGAAGAGGGTCTCCAAGACGAAGACGAAGTGGTACTAAGGCTGGGCATGGGCAGGTCTTAGTGTGTCAAGATCAGCTTGTGATCTTGACTAAATGGGCTATGAACGACTTGTATTCATAGCAAAGAAACGGAAACAAGTTAGGAAGGTGATTCTTTCTAAGTGTTTCAAAATGGGGGCTAAGGCTAGGCTTTGGGCAGGTCTTAGTGAGCAAAGATCGACTTGTAATCTTTGCAAAGTGGGAAAACAAGGTAGAAACGTGAGGGTTTCTAAGTGTTTTTAAAAGTGGGCTAAGGCTGGGAGTAGGCAGGTCTTAGTAGCTATGAACGACTTGTGTTCATATCAAAGCGGGAACCAAGAGGGAAACGTGAGGGTTTCTAGGTGTTTCGGAAAGTGGGCTAAGGCTGGAGCGTTGGCAGGTCATAGTGTAACAAGATCTATTTGTGATCTTGGCCAGACGAAGTGGGCTATGAACAGATTGAGTTTATGGCAAAGAGAGGTCCTTAGTATATTTTGTGATTAATACAAAGGTTGGGTTTTTCCCGTAACTGATTGTGTTCTCTTTATGTTGCTGCCGAATCTTGTGGGAAGCCAAACTTGATAAAAAGTTGGCTAAGTGTTAGAAAGGATGTGTAACTTGAGCGTTAGGTTGCTGCCGTGCAGTGTCAAGTTAGGTGCAAAATATTGACCCAATTTGGCCCTGTGACAACTGGTATCAGAGCTGAGACGGAAGTACTCTGATACAACTAGTATCCGAGTGAAGCGGAAGTGCTCTGATAAACTGATATCAGAGTTCAGCAGAATCGCTTTGATAGACGAGTATCAGAGCAGAGCAAGATTCATGGCAGTGGTAAGACGATCAGTAGCAGACGAAATGTTGTTGTTTGAGAACATGGCTTGTGGCAAAAATACTGAACTGCGCCAAGGGTGGAACGGTTCTTGGGAGCAAGAAGTGTCAAAGCCCTTGAAACTCTCTTGTGGAATGGAGCAACAGGGGAGTTGTCTGTCAACAACTCTTTGGGGAAGATCCATTAAGTAGGCTCGACGAGGACGTCGATTTCAAAGGGTGCGGGTGATTTGTTAGGGCCTGATTCTTTGACAATCGGACGTGGCGCAGCTGTGGCAAGGATTGGGGCGTGATGGCCTTGTCGTTGGCCTATGCGGGAGCAAAACGATCATGCGGGACAATGGACGAGAAACATTGTCATGTGAATAAGTATTGGCCAAGGTCTTGAGACAGGCAAGACGGGCTTGGCAAAGGCTTGAAAGGCACTGCGGGCCAGTTTGGGCGGCATGAAGCGACATG